AAAAAAAAAAAAAGGAAAGATATGTACCTCAAATAACGTTCTGCAGTTTGTTTGAGATCAGGAACAGGTTGTTTAGGAAGTGGTTGCTTATTTAGATTTAAGGTCGTTATAGATGGTCCATGAAGAATCGACGGTGTTCTACGCAGTGTATTGTAGACCTGTGGATGTGTGTGTTGATTCAATCAATTTTACTAAGTTTTTAGTTCTGTATGAAAAATCAGTAATCTAATGTACCTACTGTATATTTTGACACATTAGATAATACTTTGTACATAGTTGGTTTCTCTAAAAAACTTGAGGCTAATCCCACTGTAATGCTAAAAAACAAAAATTAACGATATATCGATATTTTCGAAGATGAATGAAATCACAGATGGGAAATTAATAATAATTAATAATAATGTGAAATATTAAATGAGTTGAACGTTCAATGTAGCTCAGTATTCGCAAAATATGTCCCTCTGTCAAATGTCCAAATCCAAGTTCAAATATATCTCTGCAGAGAGATGTCACCCACATACGTGCCTAAATACGCGCGATGATCAATTGACAACCCTACCCTCATCCTACATTAAATTGTTATAGAATATATATTGCGTGCAATGGACATTGGACTATTGGACTGATCATCATAATTGGAATGATCGTATAATATTGTGTGTATATATACATAGCGTATTATCTTGCGTAAGTGCACTTAGCATTAAAAATAAATAAATAAGAATAAATATACATACGCGTCCATATGATAGAAATAAAATTATTTTTTGCTTGAGCAAACGGAATAATATTAAAATGTCCAAACTCGTTAAACTCAATTAAAACTCGATCTAGGAAGCAAGAGCAGAAATGTCATATATCAGTCTTAATAATTTTTGTATATGAAACGTTCACTATCACACATCTTATCAAGAGACACAACATAATGAATTCTGCACTCAGAGTGCGAACCCATCAGCAAAATAGCATAAAGCCCGTATCAGACTATGCATTGAAGATTGAAATTGATGATTCAAAATTGAAATTTAAACCAATCAGGACAAGGAAATTTTAGTCCCTTTTGTTATGATTAGTCAAATTCCAATCTTTAATCTTTAATCTTCAATTTTCAATTTTCAATGCGTAATCTGATTCGGGCTTTCCAATATTCACTGCCAGTACTGAAAATCTATAGTTTACGTCACGTACATTATACATTTTCAGTACTGACAGCTGACAGTGAATCTCGGAATGCAGCCCTAGTCAGAGTTTATTTTTCTCCTTTTCTCTTTTTGTGAAGAGAAAAAGATAAACTCTGAACTAGTGCCACTAGTGTAACCAGTTCAGCTATAAAAGAACAGATCTACATTGCATGGTCTTTAATATCGATTATGCATGAAAGACAGCTGAATATTTGAAAAACATTTCAACGAGCAGAATAAAAAATAATAATTCCGAAACAGTCTTCTCTAAACAGGTATGTATCTCAAATTCAATTCTTAATGATAAATGATGACGATAAATATATGTTTTTTTTGTCAAATCATTATTTGAGAGAAATATAATTGTACAATCTTATTTGCAATCTAACCTCTTCGCATACACGTTAAATCAAATATACAGATACATGTACTAATTTTACAAGTTGAAGGCTTTCTTCAATTAAAAAAAAAAAAAGTTTTTTTATTATCGTATTAAATAATATTATTTTTTATGTGAAATAAATCGAAATAAATTTTGTTGATTTTTGTTTTTTAATAATAACTAAAAATATAGATAATTTAATTTCTTTTATTATAACCATGAAACTAGATATCTACAATAAAAGAAATATTGTAATTTTTGTATTAAAATCTTAGATAATATGGATACAGAAATGGGTACAGATATGGATACATCAATATCCACAGATCCAGAAGAACTAATTTTGGATTATTCATCACCCACTCTGATTGATGTTATCGATTTAACTAAAGAATCACCAAGAAACAAACCTTCATATTTACCTTCATGTCATGGATGTACTGAAAATGCATCTACGAGTCATCATATAACTAGGCCATCTAGACATAACTCACATAGGGATGTCTTGTCCCCTATAGTTCTAGGAAGGGGACAAAATACTCAAATGTTTGTACATTTTGTTTATATCCCAATAAAAATTAACAGAAATATACAAAGTGTTAAAAAAGATTGGAGTCAAAACAATATCTTAAGATGATGAAATAGATTTGCATAGTATAAGAAGTCTATGTTCCATGTTTAGAAATCATATATGCCAGGAAATTTTTATTAAAAAATTATAAAAAAAATTAATATGATTTATTAATAAAACTATTCTTATCGGTTTTAATTAATGATTGGTGCTTATTGTTTATATTTACTTGTAACTTCTACACTTTTATTATTTGTTTAGTATTACATATTCTGATGTTTGTTTTGTATTTGATATGAAGTTATATAAATTTTTTGTCAACTTAAAACTACTTTAAAATACACTGTATAATTAATACATTGTAAATTTGGCCCTAATCTTTTTATGTATCTTGTGTACACACTTATATGAGATTTTTTATGATATTATAAAATATCTTTTTTTTTTAGAGATTATCTTGTAGAGAGAACAAGAGTGGATTATGATATTGCAAGCAACAATGAAATTGTAAATTTTGATAATACTATCGAAATTAAAGATGATAAAGTGGAAGCAGATAAACAAGTTAAAAATGATAAACAAGACGTAGATGAATATTACACATTTGAATCAGATAATAGAATGCCAGTATCTTTAACATGTCCAATATGTTTGGAAACATTATCTTCTAGTTTAAAACCCATGACTACTCGTTGTGGACATTTATTTTGTGAAAACTGTTTGAAAGAATCTATTCAAAAATATAAACATTGTCCAACCTGTAAAACAACTATAAAATTAAAATCTTGTATTCGTGTATATCTTTAAATATGTATATTATTCACGAGCATTGTATAAGTTTTATAAATTTTTGAATATTTTATATTGTGATACTATTGCACATAATTCGAAAAATAATTTTAAATTTACTTCAGTTGTTTTTCTTCTTTCTCTAAATCTGTCATTGTCTTAAGGAACCCAATGATCAGGTTCTTGAAATATATTTTCTCTGTTTCAGAGAAAATGTCAATTATGCTTTTCATGTTATTATGTTTCTAATTATTCAATTGCATTCACATAAATGTCATTTTTCATAAGATGACTTGTAACAAAATTACATAATTAATGGATATTTATTTATAATAAAAATTAGTTTATTTTATATAATAAAAATTTTGTATAATATTTTTATAATAAAAGTTTTGCTGTTTCCAGATAGCTTTAGATGATTAGTTTTGTATTATGATTATTTAAAACATAGATTTAACATTGTATATAATACAAATAATAATTTTTATTTCTTTTTATAAGACTGCCCCTTAAGATGTAATAGTGAAACTGAAGTAATTTGAAATATATGATAAATGATGCAATTTTGTTGATATCTTTATAAATACCTATTTATGTAATCCACAAATAATAGGTCTTTCTACTACATATATTTTTTAATATTAAAATTTATGAGA